CTCCATCATGTAGGTGGGTCTGTTGTGAGACAGATCCTACAGCGCGTTTCCCTCTTCTGCGTCTATACGCGCGTTTAAACAACACAGCTGTACCTCCGACTAGAATGTCCAACAAAACATCAGAATAATAAAAAAACTGAAAAATATTGTCTGGGATGTGTTGCTTAATGTTAAGGAGTTCTTCTCTGGTAAAACTTATAGTAGAAGAATGTCAAAACACAGAACAAACAAACAAAAACATCAGAATTGCGTCCTCAGCTCAGCGTCCTGGCTGCCATTTGCGGCGCCATCTTGAAAGACATCAACATATGCTTAAAGTTTTAACAGCTATCAAGACAAATGTTTGCAAATATTCCTAATGACTGGTAGGTTTTCCAGACGTTTACAGCCTTCCAACTCATATTAGGTAATTGGGTAACACTTTATAATAACTGCACACTATGAATCATTAGTTAAGCATTAGTAAATTGTAGGGCTGTAGTACTCGAGTCCGGTCCCGCAAAGGATAAATGGATTTGCAGCACTAAAAATCCCTTGCAGTAGCTCTGTTACTAAATTTATTTTTAAAAAATGACTATCTTTGTACAGCTATGATCAGCTTACACTTAGCAGAATTTCCTCATATCATGCAGAACTAGTAGAAAGGCAAAATCAATGCAAATCAGTGGATATGTCTGCTATAATAGGATAGGTGTGTTAAGGCCAGTTGGAGCTAAACTCTGCAGGGCATTGGCCCTCCAGGATCTAGTTAGGAGACCCCTGTCCTACAGAGTTGTTACTTTGCACATGCTTTTTGATCATTACAAATAATAATGTAAAATGATTTTCTTAGAATAGGAGATATGCTGTCTCTCGCATCACATACATTATCAATAGTTAAGTATGTGGTCTTGAAGAGGATCCTTTTTTTCTCTCATTTGGACTCAGTCTTGACTTGGCCTCGAAACTTTTGGGCTTGGACTTGACTTGGACTCTAACCTCTTTGGACTCGGTCTTGACTCGGTCTCGACTAGTCCTGGTCTTGGACTTGTCTTGGACTCGACAAAGCTGGACTTGTCATTTCATCATTTAAAAAAAAAATACATTATCCCTACATTAATAGACATTAATAAGCAGTTTAAAAATACAGCTATAAATTGTTTGTTCTTGATTTATAAGCATATCTATAATGTGCTTAGTAATGGTATTTTCTTACTTTATTAATGATCAATTTATCATTTCTAAATTAAGTATTACATTATTTACAAACCAGTTATTTAGGAGTTGTCAGTGGTGCATAAGATCATTTAGAGAGTGTAAGTAAATGATTAATAAACTATTTAAATGTACATTTATATGTCTTATTATTTAGACATATAGTAATAGTGTTAACAAATGCTTTATTAACAGGTATTCCTACTGTAATTCATGATTATTTCAGGTATTTAAACATTAAGTAGTTGGTAAACATTTAGTAGTTGTCAGATAATTATTTTTGTGAGCTCATCTAAGGTGAGTACTATTTATGCCTCGTAAAGCTTTTACAATAGAGACTTAAAGGCTCAGTTATCTTCTAAACAGAAAAAAGAAATAAAACACAACACAGAGTGATACAGAATATAGAAATTTATTTCAAGATGAAAAAAATTAAACTGTACCCCTGTACACTTGATTTACAATGAAAAATACCTCTTCAATGTCATAGAAATAATTTTTTGTACAATTTCTGTACACCTCACAGTAAAATGAAACTAAGCCTCTGCAATCTGATATAAAAATGAACTTCTGTAAAGTGTAAACATTGCTGAATAAAAATTTACCAGTGCCAACACTGGGTTACAGTATGCTAAAATAGTTGTTATTATTTTTGTTTCTTATTTATTAATTTTTTTATATTCACTTTCTTGCTTATGTTGTTAATATTTAGTTCCTTTTTATTTTCTATGACATTGCAGAGGTTTATTTTTCATTTTATATCAAGTGTACAGTTGTACTGTTTTATTTTTTGCATCTTATAATAACATTTTCTGTATTCTATGTTCTGTGTTATGTTTGTTTCCTTTTTATGTTTAGAAGATAACTAAACATAAGAGCCTTTAAGTCTGCTTTGTAAAAGCTTTACGAGGCATAAATAGTCCTCACTTTAGATGAGCTCACAAAAAATAGTTAACTGACAACTACTAAATGTTTTATAACTACCTGAATTAATCATGAATTATAGTAGGAATACCTGTTAATAAAGCATTTGTTAACACTATTACTATATGTCTAAATAATAAGATATATAAATGTACATTTAAATAGTTTATTAATCATTTACTTACACATTCTAAATGATCTTATGAACCACTGTCAACTCCTAAATCACGGGTTTATAAATAATGTAATACTTAATTTAGAAATGATAAATTGATCATTATTAAAGTACGAAACTATAATTATTAAACACATTATATATATGCTTATAAATCAAGAATAATACATTTATAACTGTACTTATAAACTGCTTACTAATGTTTATTAATGTAGGGATAATGCTTTATAAATTATGAATGAATTGTTTACTAATGCTTAACTAATCCCTAGCGTGCAGTTATTATAAAGTGTTACCGGTTTTGGTGGTGGCATTTCATTAGTTTTAATTAATATATTATGAAAATAATTTATGGATTAATTATAAAAATAGTTCAGCCCTAGTATTCATTCTATCATTTATATATACAATATCATTCCCTTCTCTTTCTCTTTTTTGTGCAATGCCTTCTTTCATCGTCTTCTCTCCTTTACTACACTATATTTTTGTAACAGGTAATCTCAAAAACAGCCGTCGTTCCTCTTACTTGCTGGCCATTACCACAGAGCGGTCCAAGTCATGTGACGAGGGTCTGAACACCTTCAGGGAGGAGGGCTGTGTTTTCTTGTGAGTGTTACAGGTGTCACAGGACAGTGGAAAGTATCACAACTTCTTTGTGGCAACCACTGCACATAATATGCTGTTTGATGTGATGTTATTTTAGTGCTGCATGTGTTTGTGGGCACATTCTCAATTTCTACTACACTCTTAAAAATAAAGGTGCTTCACGATGCCTTTTTGTCTAAATGGTTCCATACAGAACCTTTAACATCTGAAGATTACAAAAAGGTAAGAAAGAGATGGTTCTTTAAATAACCTTTGACTGAATGGTTCTTTGTGGAACCAAAAATGGTTCTTCTATGGCATCGCTTGAAGAACCTTTTGAAGCACTTTTATTTTTAAAGTGTAGTTACATTATTTGTAACTAAAGTTACATTATTTGAAATGCAAATTACTGAATTAAGTTTTGTAAAGTGTTTTAATGCAACAATTTAGATTTGATTGAGATTAATTTGGGTATAATTCAGTTCTAGGATATTTTGCCCCATTCCTGCATAAAGGTATTCATTTTACTCTCCTTTTTTTTTTCTTCAGGAGACTACCAAAACGTGTCAAAAGCTTTTTCGCAGATGGCGTAAGTACTTCTTTCTGTCCAACCAACCTCAATTACAATAAATCTTCATTGATTAAGAGTCTGTTCGATAGTGATGTTTTTTTTTCAGTCTCTAGAGAATCTTCGAGCAGCAGAGAAAGCTCGCTCAACCTTTGAACTGGGGAACATCACTCTGACTGACATTAGGAAAGAAGGCTGGCTGCACTATAAACAGATTCTCACTAATAAGGGAAAGGTCTGACAGTAGTTCATGAATTTGTATAATTACACATGTAATTACTTTTCAGACCGCACTTCTGTGGGCTATCCTGAGACCTCTGTGTTTATGTATCGTATCCAGAAAGTGGGCGGAGGCATGCAGCCTTGGAAACGAGTCTTCTCTGTGCTGCGCTCCCATTCACTTTACCACTACAAGGATAAGCGGGAGGCAGTACTTCACGCTGCTGGGGCAGGAGTTCACGGTAATGGACAAGGAGAGGACAAGCAGCCAATCAGCATTCGAAGCTGCTTGATTGACATTGCATACAGCGAGACAAAGCGTAAACACACCTTGAGGCTGACGACGCAGGACTTATGTGAGTACCTGCTTCAGGCGGAGGACAGGGATGACATGCTGGACTGGATCAGAGTCATCAGAGAGAACAGCAAGACTGACAATGAGGTTTGTTGAGGGGAAAAAAGCTATTTCGTAAACAAATAATTATTAGAAAACAAGCCGCTAATAGTAACAAAAAGCAGCATAATAAAAAAAGTTGAAAATGCAACCACATGATTTATTCATGCCACAGTACATACTAGGACTGTAATGCAGACACAGATTGGGGAAGTCGTGGCCTAATGGTTAGAGAGTCGGACTTGTAACCCAAAGGTTGCTGGTTCGAGTCTTGTACTGGCAGGGATTGTAGGGGGGGGGGGGGAATGACAGTGCTCTCTCCCACCTTCAATACCATGACTGAGGTGCCCTTGAGCAAGGCACCGAACCCCCAACTGCTCCCCGGTCGCCGCAGCATAAATGGCTGCCCACTGCTCCGGGTGTGTGTTCACGGTGTGTGTGTGTTCACTGCTGTGTGTGTGCACTTTGAATGGGATAAATTCAGAGCACTAATTCCAAGTGTGGGTCATCATACTTGGCCACATGTCAGTGTGTGTTTAACTTTTTGATCTACATAGTCATTTTCTGCTGCTGTTCACTGTGAAGTCACAGCTTAATTTAAAGAAAGAAGCTTAATTTAATTTAAATAAACTGTAGAATTATGACTGTAAAAAATGCTATGAAAGTAGATAGGAATGTACTTTAAATTCAAACAAAAGTATTTGACACCTCATCTTTATTGCTTTTGAATAGGAACTGGGCTTCTCCAAACACGCTCTCACCAATAAGAAGCTGAATGACTATAGGAAACAGAGGTGATATCTCTTGCCTACTTTATGGAATGGTGAGTGTTGTAGTCTTATCTCTTCCATTTTGCAGTCCAACAGGCAACAAGCCAGACACTTTTCCAAGTATCCATCGGATGATGCCACCTTTCCTCCACTCTAAAGCTGAAAACATGTCAGGAGTGAACCGATCCCCAGGGAAAGGTGAACTCTCGGAACCATGACAAACAGGCTTAGACACTATAACCCCGCCCCTTTATCCACTCTCTGCTTTGCATTTGCATCTTTCAGATCTGTGTATCTTCTCTTTCTCCAACTAACAGATGAGAGTACTAAGGCTTCATGGGGCATTAACATATTGAGAAAGAGAAAGAAAACTGGTCCAAAATCTTTTGGGGTAAGGCTGGAGGACTGCCCGTCTGCTGCCAATAATAAGGTCAGTAAGCTTTGTGAACCAGTGCTAGTTTTTATTAACTGTATCATTGTTTAAGCATACTTTAAGTCTCAGCTTATTTCTTTTTTTTTTTTTGCTTATTTAGGTGATTTAGGTTTGAGTCTGGCATGCATGTGTCCTAATCTCATTTCCCTTTTGTCTGCCCAAGAATTTTCTATACATTATGCTTCAAAATAAAACAAATAAAATATAAAAGGTAAAGGTAAGGTATTGGGAACTATTAAATAAAGTGCTATTGAGACAAAAAATAAAATAAAATAAAATAAAAATAAAATAAAATAAAGGAAAGAATATAGTTATCTATTATCATGTGCTTTTGTGTTTAGTTTGTCCCACAGATTGTAGAGACTTGTTGTCGTCTGGTGGAGGAGATGGGTTTGGAATATACTGGCATCTACAGAGTGCCAGGGAACAGTGCCATCGTGTCTTCCCTTCAGGACCAGCTGAACAAGGGCATGGATATAGACACTACTGAGGAGGTGAAGAGGGAGCGTGACAAAGACAGATAGCAAATCTGCAGGTATAAATCAGAACAGTAATGACATTGTTTGTTTACAGAAATGGCAAGACCCGAATGTCATCAGCAGTCTTCTGAAGTCCTTCTTCAGGAAACTCCCAGAGCCCCTTTTTACAGATGGTATATGCAGCTCAACTTCCTCTTAAATTCATTCACACAAAGCCTTTGCATGGGTGTCAGAATGAGTGTATGTTCCATCCATTTTCAAACAAAGCTCACTGCTGCACTCTACTTGTAGATAAATATAATGACTTCATTGACGCTAACCGTTTAGAGGATGCAGGGGACCGCTTGAAGACCATAAAGAAACTTGTATGTACCATCAGTTTATTCATTCAATTTCAGCTAATTTATATTTGCAGTTGCTTATCAAAATGTTGTGCTGTCTATGTTGCTCTTTTAGATACGTGACCTGCCAGATCACTACTACCACACACTGAAGTTTTTAACTGGTCACCTGAAAACAGTTGCAGACCATTCAGAGAAGAATAAGGTTCCGGCTGTACTAGACATATTTTGCCAATCACAATAAATGAGTGTTTCTTCAACTGTGGGCACTTTTAGTGCTGTAGACTTAAGATAGACTTAATAGACTTACGTCCAGCAGTACATATACACCACTGTTCAAAATGTTGAGGTTGGTACAATGTTTTTAATGTTTTTGAAAGAAGTCTCTTTTGCTCACCAAGGCTGTGTTTATTTGATCAAAAATACAGTACAAGCAGTATCATAGTGGAATATTATTACAATTTAAAATAACTATTTTCTATTTGAATGTATCTTAAAATGGAAATTATTCCTGTGATGGCAAACATTAATTTTCAGTAGCCATTACTCCAGTCTTTAGTTTCTTATAATCCTTCAGAAATCATTCTAATATGCTCTATATATGTAAAAAAATATAATAATAATAAAAAATAAAAAAAAAGTTTATCACTGTGGGAAACAGTTGTGTTGCTTAATACATTTATAGAAGCTGTGATACATTTATATGAAAAGTTCAAAAGAACAGCATTTATATGAAATATAAATATTTTGTAACACTATTATTAATGTCGTTACTGCAACTTTTGATTGATGTAAAAAAAAATACTTACTGACCCCAAAGTTTTGAATGGTAGTGTGCACATAGGAAAATTCTGTCATTTTTGGCATTATTCTATGAAAGTCATGAAAAATTTCCTCCACCATGTCACTTCCAGCACAGCTGAAAATAAAAATGTTTAATAATGTTCTGAGGTGAAAATGATGGTGGAAGTGACATATTTTTCTTATGCTAATTTTACAGCTCACATTTTTATGTTTCCTAAATACACACATTGAAATATACTGTATTTTTACACTGCAAAATCTGACAAAACTACAGTGTAAAATTTACCTCAAGTTTTATTTTTCTTCATTTATCATTCATTATCCCAAGCATGTTCCTTACTGACACCATCGACAGACTGAACATATTGAAAGAATAATATTACTAAATAAACTAAATATTAACAATATAAGCAAAATAATAGAGTAAAGCAATAAGATCTATACATAAGGTAATTGAATATAAATTAAATCATGTTAAATGCTTCAGGATCTTTTTAATGTCATCTTCATATAATTAAAAGGGAAGGAAGGTGAAATTTGTTTGTTTTTAATAAAAATCAATCCCTGAGACATAAAAGTGCATGAAGTTAAGGAAACCATACATTCAGGAGTAATTTCTTTGACAAAAGCTGACTCTCCTTGCTCTCCAGATGGAGCCTAGAAATCTGGCCTTGGTGTTTGGCCCCACACTGGTGCGGACCTCAGAAGACAACATGATCGACATGGTCACTCACATGCCAGACCGCTACAAGATCACAGAGACTCTCATTTTGCATGTATGTCCTTTTCAGATTGTTTTACTTTCTGTCTCCTATAAAGATAAAAAAGATCAGTCATGACTTTTGCGCTTTTAAAGTGGTCATGAAATGCAGTTTCAGATTAAGACATTTCTTGACATTCATTTATAAAGTTTGCAAAGTTTTTTGTACCAAAAATGGTCCAATATTAGCACAAAAAGAAAAAAATCATTTTTTTTTCTCATTTTCACTCTCTGTGTAAAACATTTAAATTCAAAGGGGCATTACCTCTTGCAGAAACTGAAGTAAATGCCCATTGCTGTGGCTAACTTCACACCGTATCAACGCCTCCTTTACAGCATGTTTAGTGTCTGCTACTCGAGATGGCAAACACTGTGATAGAGCTGTATATGTACTAGCACAAGTCAGATCCTGAGGCAGAAAAAAACTGAAACAACACAACCACCAAAGTCCCTTTAAGACAAGTCATTTCACTCGGCGGCCATTTTTGAAACACCTCTCGGGCATGCAAATGCAGCTCCTATTTTCTATGAATGGGGAAACATCAAAATCTCCAAAACTGTTCACCAAGTTTACGATTAAATTTCAGATTTGAAATCACCAATGAAATCTGACAACAACTGTCTCATAAATGTTGTTTCTTATGATCCAATAGCATTAAAAAAGCGTATTTTTCAGGCTAGACCAGCCAATCCACATGTGCAGTCCTAAATGTGAGTCTCAGAACGCTGACCGGGATTCTAACGGCAGCTGCAGAGCCACGATGACTTTATTGATTAGTAGGGGTGTGACGAGACATTTATCCCACGAGAGGAGACGAGATTTTTAGACTTTTTAAAATAAATCCTCAATGATGAAATATATAGGGAAAATAGTCTTTTATTCAACTGAAAAACACAAAATGCAATAAATGTAGGTGCATTTTGAAATCAGCTTGTACTTTATGAAATTAAACATCCATTTTAATTAATGTTATGCAGTAATAAACAACATGTTTAAACTTTAATAGAAAAATATATAATAAGCACGATTTTAATGTATCCGTTTAAAAGGATAAAGCAGTGGTTCCCAAACTGGGGGGCGTGGCAAGGCTGAGGGATAGTGTACAGTCAGCAGATTATTTTGCAAAAAAAAACTCTGCAGGGTGATAAAGACTACACTGTGTAATTTTCCCGCTTATCATGTGGCCACTTGTCTGATAAGTAAATAATTGAACGCAAAATATTAATATGACATTTTAATGACCTCAACATAACTTGCAGTTGTGGTTGTATCAATAACAGACCACTAGATGGCGCGACTGAAGTCAAGTCAAGTCACCTTTATTTATATAGCGCTTTTAAAAATACAGATTGTGTCAAAGCAACTGTACAGCATTAATTAGGAAAATAGTGTGTCAATAATGCAAAATCAGAGTTGTATTGCAGGGAGCCACGTAGAAATATAAATGAATGATGCATGGTTCTGCTCTAAGCATGTAAGTTACAAGTTTGTGAAAATACTGCCAGTGCCAGGTACTTAAAGCAGATGATGAATATACATAAGATTCACAAATACCAAAATGACGTGTCTCTCACATATGATGTCTGAGTTGCAGCTTTTTGCATGCGTGCGCACAGAAACGGTCTATCACAGCACGTGATAACACTTTAATGTTTAAACTGACAAGGCTTAAAACACGTGATAATGATAAGCTTTCTTGAGGAAGCAGCACTAGCCCGATCGTTCAGATAGGTGATTAGCTAAACACTGGAGTGTCCTGTTAACCGCAGGTAACATTAAGCATATTGTATTCGCAGGTGAACATAAAATATCTTACATACTACTGGTGAACGATCCAGTGTAATGCAAATATGTCTGAGAGGTCTGACATATGCCAATAGCACGAGGATATCGTCATGTTCTCGCGAGATCCATCGTCACGTTCTTGTGAGATCCATCGGACACATCGGATCTCGCAAGATCTCGTGCCACAAGATCTCGTCACACCCCTAATGATTAGTGATTGGCTATTTTACTCAGAAGGTGGGGCTTCCTTCGATAGAGCGGCCATATTGAGCATTGCATTTTTCCCCATTCAAACCTATATGTGTGACACATCTTGGGTATTCTATTCATTTGGACCATGTGACGTCACAGTGCATTATCGCCGCCATGTTTGTGTCCAAGTCACACTGCGCGACCTGTTTCAGTCTATGGTCACAGCAGCCACAACTACCAGTAGATCAATGAAACACACCCGGAAGGTTCCTAACAAGATTACAATATGCTCGGGATATGTTGTGCTGTTAGCTGTATAACAGTTGTCAGAGAAACCCCGAACTACAATTTTATTTGATCCCAAAGGAGTTAGATCGGCAGAATAAATGGTTGGCTTCATTCAGAAGAGTTTGTTGTCGTTTGTTGGAAAATCATATCATACTGCTCAGACATTCCACGACCCAACAAACTTTGTGACTGTTACGTAACTGCAATGTAATCTGGTGACCAAAGTTACGATGTGGCTATGTAACTAGTTGCGTCGTGGCAACCAGAAAAGCGAAATTTCCAGTTTCGTCGTCACAACGTAATTTTGTGACGTTGCCAGGTAGTAACTGCGATGTTGTGGCAACGTTGTTGATCAATAGTTGTGTGCTGATAATCAGTTGGTAATTTTTATAATTATTTATTTTCTAGGGGTGGACATTTGCCCAAACTAATTTAAATGCTGTTTCAACAGCTGTGAATTATGAATACAGACACAAAATTAATTCAGTTCATTTATCTTCAAAAACACACATTTGAAAAATAAAATACACCCAAATTATGAATAAAAACATAGGAAATACAGCGAAATATGAAAGCATTCAGGACATTCCGTGCTCAGCATCATTATAAACAGATATGCTATGCTAGCATAACATTTGCTAACAGACATTTCAGATAATTAAGGAAAGATACCATAATCACAGAGGTATAAATATGAACAAAAAGTAAAAGTAGACTGTGGGTAATGTTACTTAACCAATTTGACAAAGTTGTTGAACTTTTTTGATATAACTGACGAGAAACAGAGAGAAATGTCAGGCGTGTCCTCTCCAGCAGCTTGTGTGTTCCCGGTTGCCATGGTAACTCTCAACGGCCAAAGTACTATACAGTACATAACAACAACAATAAAAAAGGGGGTTTTAGCATCTGTCCAGAGTTTTTTTTTCCCCAAACAATTTTATGGACCTATTTATTTGTTATAAATTGTAAGACTCAACTCAGAACACTGTCAAAAGGGTCTGGCTACAGCCTCGCAAATGAGAACAACAGAAGCAATCAATTGTAGTATTAAAACAACTAAATCAGATCCAAAACTAAAAGATAAAACTTTATAAATACTACCTATACACATTTTAAAAATAAAGAGATTAAATAAAAATGACAAATGCATACAACAAAAATTTCAAAACTTAACATTTAAAAGAAAAAGAAAAACATTTATAAATTCAATATATATATTATTTCATTTCCATTTAGTTTGAAGTATTAAATTAACTCAAATTAAATAAAACTAAAAACTTAATAAAAGAGCTATACAGACAGAATAAATTCAGACATAATGTAACTAAAATTAAAATAAATAACTAATACAAATTAAATGACAGTAGTTTATCAGTAATCCTAAAAAATAACACTGCCAAACACACGTGCTAAAAAAACAACAACTTACTGACACATAGTAAGAAATGGTTATAGAAATTGAAACAGAGGCGAAACAAGTAATAGGAAAGAGGAGAAATAAAAAGCAATACTTATTAAAACTAATGAAAGTACTATACAAGTATAAGTATTTAGTACAATAACAGGGTCCTGCAAGAAAAAGATAAGACCCGCAAATCCGTGGCTACAGAACAGCAGAATATGAACGCAATGCACAAATTCTCTCATTAAGCATTTTCCTCCTGTAGAAAAACATAAACACTTAATATGGCTTAATGTATTAAGATACATTAAGTGCAATTAAAAGATCAAATTCGATATCAAAGTCTCTCATTAAGCATTTTCCTCCTGTAGAAAAACATAAACACTTAATATGGCTTAATGTATTAAGATACATTAAGTGCAATTAAAAGATCAAATTCGATATATAGTTATTATTTAATTTACTACAAGGCAAGCAGATGGCCATGAAAACAATGCGCAAACTTTCACTTGTCCTCCTATACAGCAAAACGCTTAATGTGGCATAATAATGGATGACAAAGACAATTCAGTAGCCTATATGTCTTGTTGTTGACTCAAAGTATATACAGAACAGCAAATATGAACATGCATTATGAAATGCATTAAGTGATTTTAAAAGGATTGACTCTGTGCATGCAAGCAGACGCGCCCAGAATGCAATGCATTAAATTGCACGTTAAACATTTTCCTCCCATAGAAAATCATTATAAATAAAACACGTAATGTAGCTTAATGGACAAAGACAATGATATAAAAGAGCTGTAGACAGTTTATTCTATATGGGAAAACACTTAACGCTAAACTGTGCATGTTGCGCTTATTCTGGCCTCACCTGCTTTCCTGTATATTAGTTATGTAGGCAATATTTTAATAATGAAGAGCATTGAGTTTGGTCTTTATCATCTTAGTCCATTATGCCACATTATGCCACATTTTGCAGTGTGGGAGGAAAATATATTCATTACATTAATAAACTATATATTTAATTTGATATTTATATATCATCTTATAATAGCATCTTAATACATTAAGCCATGTTAGGTGTTTGTTTTTCTACAGGAGGAAAACGCTTAACGAGAGACTTTGTGCATTGCGTTCATATTCTGCTGTTCTGTGGCCACGGATTTGGAGGTCTTGTCTTTTTCTCCTACAGATGGCATGCAGGACCCTGTAGGTTACGATACTAAATTAGTTTTAATTGTTTAATCACCACCACAGCATCTTGTCTCCATTGGCAACACGCACGATTTGTGTTGATTGCAAGTGACGTCGCAGGTATCGGAGCGTGCAAGTGGCGATTGCAAGTG